CCCGAAACGGCGAGCGAAACACGAAGTGAATCTCACGTGGATGTCTTTATGTCGTCGTTCCTGGCCAAAGAAATCCGCACGAAACCCTCTTCGAAATCCGGAACGAAATTATCCAGGACACTCCGGGCCCGTCCCGTTGCTTTCCGAACGACATCCGCTCTGCGATGCTGGCGCCATGAAACATGGCATCCCGGGCTGACGAGCTGCACCCACATCTAACACTTTTTTTGATTCGCGGGTCGAGAGCGCACCTCTTCTGGTCGAAGCTAAGCGGGCCGCGCGAAGCTTGAATTAACCGCACCCACATGTGACACACCGGCAGAGATCTCCCGCGAGGAGTGCCGCCTGTCTGATCGTGTGGGCCGACGCCTCGGCCTCGCGAGTGCCCATATTTTCCCATATTTTCTGGGTTTCTGTCTTCCCCCACACTTCTCATATTTTCCCATATTTTCTGGGGAATGGAAGATTAATTGTGTTTGTGTGTTTCTTTTCCTCCTAATAAAGATGTTGACGGTCTGTGGCCCTCGAAGAAGAACCTGGGTGGCGTGGCTCGATCGCGGCCCTGGCGCGCAACCTCCAAGGATCCAGCATGGCAGCAGCGTGGCATGTGCAGGGAAATGGCGCCCTGATGGCATGACAACAGCATGGCATCCGCATGGCAAGCGCATGCCAATGGCACGGCAACTGCGCGACATACGTCAGGCGATCGCATGGTAGTAGCACACTTCGGGGCCCCTCATTGAGAAGAGCGCCCTCCATAACAAGCAACAAAGGTTCAGTCCAAAGGACGGTCACCTCTTGGGTCGGGCCCAACCCAGCTATACATTGGGGGGTAGCGCGGTGACACCGCATGCCTGGCAAGATCTGGACGGTCACCAAACATAAGTTGCCAGGCGCGCGTTGGTCTTCAGATGTTCATGCCAGGGCGCGGGCCATGATGGAGGGAAGAAGTGGGACGTGCATGGGTATTGTGTGAGAGCTGGCGCTTACAATTCTAATTGTGGATCGCCTAAAGCATGCACTCCTTGAGTTCCCGATGCTTCTGCACCCCCTGGGATACTCCTGATGCCTCGGTTGGCGCTTGGCGCAACCGGGAATCCAAAGCACGACTTGGTCCCGCTGGCAACAGAGGGTCGCCACGCGGGCCAACAGATCACGGTGACGGATGGATCCTGGCCGAGGCGCCCGCAAGGACCCCGGAAAACGCCCCGAGCCGCAGACGTATATAGGCAGAGTCAGCAACGCAACCAACCGAGGAGCCCTCGGGGCCTGCTCGATGTGTTTTGTTCTTATTGATTTGTTTTATGTGTTTCTATGTTGTATGTTATTTTTGTTTCATTATTGATTATTGATTTCGGGGCCTGCTCACAAAACTTAGGCAGGGCCCTCAACTCACCACGATTGCCACCCTGCTTGCCAGGGATGCCCCCTTCAGCAACTGAAGCCAGGCTCGCCTCCGCGGCCGTGCTGGGTAATCGATCCAAACTGTGCCGAAAGATCGCAGCTCCCCAAGACACTCTTCGAAGCCGACGATCCCTTGAGAACTCACCCCCGCTGGCATCCCCAGCTCCCCAAATGCGGCCTTCCACCGAATCGGGGAAAGCTCCTGAGGAGGCAAGAAGGGGCTCGTCTGGGGAAGGCGGGACGTGGGTCTAGGACGAAGGTGTGAGGCCGCGAGGCCAAAGCACAAGGCACCCGGTTGCAGCGTGAGCTGCTCTCCTAGCGAAGGCCTCGAAAATATCAAAAATCTCTGCGTTGCACGGGTACTTCTAAAACGGATATCGGCTTCAGGACAAGACTCACAGCGTGGGCACAAAATGTCGCACTCTCCACCAGCGCTCAAGATATGAGAGCGTGCCCATACAGCTCCCAAAAGACAGAACGACGAAGGTCTGCCTTATTCGGGTCCTTTCTGAGCGAACAATTAAGTCGATGCCCTAATCCACACCCACCATGTTGCCGAATTGGGACTCTCCCCTCCACAGCTTCACTGAAATAGAGGTGGTGACTTCAAAATGAACTCAGGGGTCATTTACGCACTCGATCGCATCTCATCGGGAATGGCAAGCTCATGCCCATTCGGGGCGATCCATTTCCAAGGCCCCTCTGGGGTCTATCCGAGATCTAGCATGGTGGCCACCACCGCTGAAACAAGGCCTCTGATGTTGTGCCATCTGCGTCTAGGGCCGAGGTTCTGAATTTTACCCACAGCGTCCACTCAACACGACACATGCGATCGAGCGCCTTGTCGGGAATGCTGGACACTATCTGGAACCAAGAGTCCAAGATCATAAAAAAAACAGTACTGAACGCGGGGTTCTTCGGACCCACCTCCAAAGCTCAAAGCGTTGTTACGCACCTACCTGCATGCCCCCTGGTCAGAATACTAGCCAAAACCCTTCTCGACTGCTGGAGGACAGCTGGGGCAACTCCAAAGACCTTCCGGGCATGCGAGGCTTGGGAGAGAGCCCCCGTGAAATGGCAGCTCTCTAGCACTTCCAGTCGAGACCCATGCCAAGAAACGCCCTGCTTGCCTCCAGGGTGCCCCTGGGTGTCTTGGGCTTCGATGGTGTTGCGTCGAAGGCGCGACGTTCCCACACCAAAAAATCGATGGACGTCCTGGGGTCTCAGGGTTGGGTTTCTTGTGGAGGGTTTCTCGTGGACTGGCCTCCCCTGTAGCAAAATCTGGGGCCCTTCTGGCCCCCGCCACAACCCCCCCGGGGAAGAATCGGGGGGTCACACGCCCAGAGTCCCCGAGCATCCCAGGTCCCATCTGCAGAGGCTCCTCCAGAGCGAGGCACGTGGCGGGCAGGTCGAGAGGCAAGGTATGAGCAACGCCCCTCTCCCGCGGATACAGCGGGGGCCCGACCACAAGAAACCCTCCACGAAGAGCCCAACCCTGAGACCCCAGGACGTCCATTGAGTTTTGGTGTGGGGGGACGTCGCGCCTTCCGACGCAACACCATCGAAACCCAGGAAACCCAGGGCACCCTGAAGGCAAGCAGGGTGCTTCTTGGCATGGGTCTCCACTGTAGTGGAGGAGCGCGGGAAGGAGGGAGGGAGGGAGGACAAGGTTAGGCACGGGCCGAAAGCCAGGCGGCCCGTGTTGAAGGCCTGGAAATGGGCACCAACACCAAGACAGGGGGTTGCCTCCACATGGGGAAGATGATCCTAGATTTCGGTGTTGGTGGTGATATTTCGGCTACCTTGGAAGCCAGAATATTAAGACCATCACCGAGATCGGGATCGTCTTCCCTCGGTGGAGGCACACCGCCGATCTTGGTGTTGGTGTCAACCTTCAGGCCTGCGACCGTGATCTTGCCCAGGGCCGGTGGCGCCAGAGTCCGACTCACCACTGAGCGGCGACTGGGCTCCGGTGGAGGACCCCGCCCCCTCGGAGCGGGAGGGAGGGAACGGGGAAGGAGGAGAGGGAGGAGGAGGAGGAGGAGGGCGGGCGAAAGGAGAGGGAGGGGGGGGAAGGAGGGGAGGGAGGAGGAGGGGGGAGGAGGAGAGGGGGGAGGAGGAGAGGGAGGAAGAGGGGGGAGGAGGTGGGGGGAGGAGGTGGGGGGAGGAGGAGGAGGAGGAGGAGGAGGAGGAGGAGGGGAGGAGGAGAGGAGGAGGAGGAGGAGGAGGAGGAGGAGGAGGAGGAGGAGGAGGGAGGAAGAGGCGGGCGGCCGAAAGGGAGAGGCAGAAGGAGAAGGGGCGGCGCCGGAACCACCTCCCCACAACCTGTCACCCAGCGCGCGGAGCGCGCCAAAGGCAGCCTTCGGCGCCGCCAAGGGTGCGGGCGGACGAGAGGCGGAAGGAGAAAGAGGAGAAGGAAGACGAGGGGAAGGCGAGAGGGAATGCTCTTATATAGATATTATCATACGCACCTCTCCGAGGGAGTAGAGCTCAGAGGGGATTAATGCGTCCGTGCGTGCGTCCGTCTTTGATTGTTCTGGCCGTTTCGCTCGGGACATCCTCGAAATTCTGAAAATCGGTGGCACCCCTCACGCAGATCGTGAAGGAGAGGTCCAAAAACACATAGGAATTCAACCATTTAAAACATAACACCTTCAAAAACACATGGTAATTTCAATAATTTTGACCCCGATTCTCAGAGAATGGCGGTTTCGCCTGAGACATCCTCCCAAAATCGAGCCCCAGACCCCTCCTCGGAGCCTCCTGGGGGCCTCCTGGAACCTCCTGGGGCCTCCTGGGGCTTTCTGGACCTTCTGGTACCCCAGACCCCGCCTCGGAGCCTCCTGGAGTTCTCCTGGGCCTGCTGAGGCCGCCTGGGGCCTCCTGGGGCCTCCTGGGGCTTCAGAACTACATGCACACACAGAGACACAAATCACGCCCAACACATCACACGCTAGACAAACATAACATACACACACACAACACCGACAACACACAAAAAGCACGCACCACACAAAGCACACATCACACACACAACACTCACAATCCTGGGGCCTCCTGGAGCCTCTTCTGGTATCCAAGTCGGGCCTCCTGAGGCTTCCTGGGGGGCCCTGGTACACACATCGCAAGGTGTGGCAACCCCACTTGCGCTCGAGTGCAACTTCGCTGTTGCATGTCACTCCTGCTTCAAACGCCCCTTCAGCTTGTTGTATGAGCCTGGGCACACACGTGCCACTTATATATATATATATATATGTGTGTGTGTGTGTATCAATAATTATGTGTGCATATAAGTACATATACACATATATGCATATACACATACATATATATATACATATATACAGATATACATATATACATATGTACATATATATACATGTATACAGATATGCATATACACATATATACATATATACATCTATACATATATACATATATACATATATACATATATACATATATACATATATATACATTTCTATACATATATATATATATGTATATATATAGTCGTCTTGTTATTCGAGGGGGGAAGCCGAGGGGAAGGGGGGTGGCAAGGGCGTCGAGGAAAGGGAAAAAAGGCGAGCAGGGGC